ACACCGTCATATAAAAGGTAGACACATTGAGGTTGAGGCTAAAAAATGGCATATCTAGGATTTAGCCAGTAGCAATTTTACTCGTATCTGCTTGAAAGTTTATGTTAGGCACAACAATGCTTGAAGGTCCGTGTAAATTCTCAGTTGAAAGGCGTATATACGTACAAGGCATAATACTGGGGCAAGGCTGCGCCGATGTGGATGATGTGAGGAGTAGTCCACAACAGGCAGATTGGGCGCTCAGACAGTCACCATCGTAGAGAACATCTAGAAAATTGCATCTTTCGGTTTTTATGAGTTAGCAGAGTAGGGGGCTGTATTGTGTGATAATAGCACCTGAAGGAAAGACACTGGAGATGTGGCGTAATCGGTCGCTAGGCTTTAGAGACGTACTCCGTAGATTTTGTTAAATAGTTGCAATCAGCTCAGAAAGTCCATGGCGTGATGAACGCCGAGATTTCCGCCCAGGTCGAACTACTCCATAGCTAAGGTTCATCGCAGAAGGCTCACTTTTCTGTCTTTGCATTCTGGCAATCGAATAATTAGCTACTAGGTCAAGAGCCCCATAATGTCAACAACCGTGTCACCTTCATGAGGCCGCTCTCGAACCTGATATGTCAGCAAAACGACAGGTAACTAGTTAGTCAGTTATGCTGTGGTTCAAGTCGATCAAATGTCTGTTCAGCACCATTCGATCAACAGATGACGCTACAAGCACATACTCGAACATCTTCCGTATAACCACCTTGGGTGTACCGACAACCCCCCTGCTGCTGATTGAAGCTTCAAAACATGCATTGATATGTGGCTAGTGCCTACTAGTGGCAATAAGTTCACAGTCCAGAGCTGAAAACAGGCAATGTGCCACGGTGGCAAAGCATTCTGTGGCTGCACTGCCGATCCTGCGGCGTCGGCGAGTCCGTATTGTATCCCCACCTCACTTACTGCCCACTTCGCTCCGCTGTGTGAGGCTGCATTCGTGCACTCTGGATGTGGCTGAGAAGGGGGAATCCCATCGATCTGGAACGAGAGGCCAACAACTGGATCTGGAACTCGCGACACCATGCAATGAATGAACAGGTAGAAAGCCATGATGCTAGCAGTATCTACAATTTTTTTTTCGCAAATATCATGTGCCGCCCATATCGAAGTCATTCCACTTGCAACTTTCTCGTCCGCTCTCTTGATGACCTTAAATTGAACTCGGGTCCTCGCGCCGGACATAATGAACTCAATAATTGTCGCCCACTTCATCATGTTGGCGGCAAGCTGGTTCGTTGTTCTGGCCATGTTGCATGGCTAGTAGATAAGCATAAACATGACCCTGCTTTTTGTTAGCGTCACCCCCTCCGTCATGTTCCTGGGATCCAATGAAAAGGGTGGTTGTTGTAGTTGTGGATACGGCGAACGTGTTGAGTTATACCTTACATTATTCTTGAATTCCTGGAATTACGGAGGGGTACTGAGGAATACTGAGCCAGTAGCCATCTTAGGGGACCAATCACCTTGCATATTATGAGACCCAAACTGCGCTCCCTTGTGCAGATAAGCCTTGATGGCAATGCTTGCCAGCAGTATTGTAATCGTAATTGTCTTCAGCCACACTTTAGTTCCAGGTCACGGAGATACTATTCCGCCGCGTGGTGTAGAGAAGTGTTGTGAGTTGAAAGCTTCATATCGAGGCTGTAGTTACCGCAAGGTATATTTCAGGCCGTGAGAAATGGATCGGGCATGATCAGTGGCATAGTACTCCTGTAACCATCTGCCCAGTCGCATGGCGTGGGTGGGTGGCTAAACGGCTGTTAAGTTGCACTCACTTGTGCAATACTCACCGCTCTGTGATATGATTGATCATCATATTTGCCCGGTCTTCTTGGCGGACCGGCCAATATGAATTTTCTTACTGTTACTATAAAGGAAGTAATCATTGAGGACGATTTCGACATATTGAAAAGCAAAGACCCACAAATAGAGTTACATGTTTTCTGCACGGCGTTTTGATATCTTATCATTTAGGCATTTCACAGTACGGAGTACTGACCCTGAATTTCCGCGAAGTCAGATAGGATAACATATCCGAGGCATGATACTGAGCTGAGCAATAACGGTGAAGAATATTAGATGACGCGACAAGTATTTTCGCCGATGCACTGGCGTTTCCAAGATTCAGATCTCTGCTACACAGTGTGGCAACCCCCCCCCCCCCCCCCCCAAAAAAAAAAAAAAAAAAAAAAAAAAAAAAAAAAAAAAAAAAAAAAAAAAAAGAGCAATTCATTCCCAATGCAGAAAAGGCATGAATAAAACCTACGTATGATTTCTCATGCGCAATTGGAAAGGTGGTCCTCAGCAGCGGTACGTATCTTAACTAGCGGCGGCTGGGTGAGTGGTGGGGAAGCTTAGCTCCCTTACTTTACCATGTGTTACCATGTTGTCCGCCCTGTTTAGGGGGATACTTTCTTTCCCTACAACTCCCCGGGGTTTCAACTCTTGCTATTCGATATTTTCAACATTGCTGTATCTCATCAAAGGTTGGTCATGCAACCAATAAAAAAGATTATTACAGCCATCTCGGTTTGTCCATACTTGAAAGCTCCTCTTCATGGAGTACCCGACTAAAAGGCTGTATTTGACCCCTGCAACTTCGACTTAGACAATTACAGCTGACTGGGAATGGCACGCTCAAGCATGATAGCCGCGATTATCTCAGATTGCTTGTTGTGCTTGAGAATATCTTACGAATTGCTTACAGAAGGAGGGAGGAATACCTTACTGTATGTACCCCGCCGAATACCAAATCTGGGCGCTAGCATACATTATTAGCACGGCAAAATAGATACCTGAGCTTTTTTTTTCTTTTCAGCCCCATCGATAGTACCATTTCTCACACTTATTTCCGAGTACAGCTTATCATTCGATAAGGATCGTTCGCAATGGACCAAGTCCTATAGTGGTTCAATGAAGGGGGAGGGGCTAGACGAGGCCGCCGGACTATAGGCAGTAGGTATGTCAATGCCTACTACTCAGTACTAGCAAGGAAGACTATAGAAACGCCACTTGGGCCGCATCCCTTGGTGGTAGGGATGATGCATACTATAGATTATTGGAATCGGCTTGAAACACCGCGTTTCCTCATTTAATGTTGAAGGCATGGGAAACACGCGATTGACAAATTTGACAGGAGGAATAAAGAACAATCTGTCAAATAATCTTACATTATTGCCTTTTGATTTGACCATATTGGTTCTTCATCGACCTGGAAAGCTGGAACCTGCTGTTTTCATGATTATTGACTGGGGATGTGCCGTTACCGAGCAAGGTACTTTAACTTACTGATGGAGTATTGTCCAAAACTGTGCCCCGGGCGGGAGAGACACCTTAATCTTGCCCTGATGGATAAGATGTTTGAGGCTGTCGCACCTCTTCACTCACGCTGATCCTTGGATTTCGGCCCAAGACTCAATTTCCCTGGAAGTTATGATATGGACTCGATAGTTGTCTGGTTCTCCATTCTGTCGGTTCGATCTGCATGCGACAACGAGAATTCAGTTACCCTTCCAGTCCTTGTAATGTTAATTACATGCGTTCAGTATTTGTTTCGCCCAGCTTCCTTCATAGGTATTACATATGTACTAGATAAAGTTCTATAGACGCCAATCAATGCGACAAGGTGGACCATGAACGTGGGAGACATAGAGGTCATACTGAAACAGAAACGAGAATTCGTGGGCTCAGCCAATGTAGTGTCTATTTTCTTCACTCCAGGTAGGGGGCTGAGGTGTGCAGGCCGAAGTTTCGGATGTAGGCTTCAACATAGGTAAAGGAATTTCTCTTCCTTAGTGAGTAAGTCACCATGCCGTCCGTGGTTACTAGAAAGGACTAGGATAAACATAAATGTACAGTATATTACAGACATCTACGGTAGATGCACGGATGTGTTTGATCTGGGTTCTATCCAAATCTGCATTATTTCGGGATCCACAGGCAGTAAAAGGACACGCGATGACCAACACCTTTTTTGCCATCCGCTAGAGGCTTAAAGGCTAGAGGCTCGGAGGGACTACCCAGAATCCACCGAAGGGCCGCCCTGAACCATTCGATCTGTACCTGATTCTAATGTCCAGGTTCCTTGGGATTCCATTCTCGATCACTGTGAATGATTCATTTCTTCATTCGCACCAAAGAAGAAGGGGAGGAGGGGGGCATTTAGAAAACTCTAAAAAAAAAATTCAGAGAATAGAGACCAGTCAATAACCGCAATCGATACTATGATTGAGAATCTGACTGCCGATGACAATCACTTTGATGAGGGTTCTTCCTTCCAGTTTTACCCTAAGATTTCTCAATCTGAAAGCGGCCTTGTCTTTCTACTCAGTACCGTAGGTACTGTGAGGTTAGTGCTGCTCGATACCCGCCACACTACTGATACTTAACGTTAGTGTGGCTTAGAGAGGTTACGCTATAGCTATTCAGGCACCTCGTTTGAACAAGCTACTACTAAGAGGGTTTCTATCTATCAATTCAATCTTATTACAGCCCAATGCTATTAGGCGAATTATCCTAGAACATGCAAATACCATCAGAAATTATTTGACAGCTGTGACTGGAGGCACCTCAGCGAAACACTATATCCCTTGGGTATGTACGGTACATGTGTACTAAGAGTCATTTGTACCAACACGATAATATAGTACATTTCCTTTCGTTTGACAGATGATGATGTGCAAAGAAAGGAAAGAGAAAGAACAGAGGGAATAGGAGAATTCCAGAAAGAAAAGAAGGAGTAAAGAATAGCGAGAGAAAAAGAAAATCCTTCAAAAAAAAAGCCCCCCTCCCAAACAAAAACGAAACAAAACGAACCGCCTTTAATCGGGTAGACCCGTTCCTTTCTCTGGTGCTAGTCGCACCCAGTACGGAGTAACTACCAGTACCCAAGGTCCCAAACAATATACCTGGTCTACAAAGTCCACACCTTCCAGTCCAGCTCCGCAATCTGACTCTTTCTTTCCAGTTCCTACCCTTCCGGGCCGGTTCCCTTCTTCGTAACCTTCTTTATTTTTGTCTCAAAATGAACTTTTTTTTATGTATGCTCATTTGCAGCCCCGTTCCAGTTCTTCCAATGGAGCCCATCACCTAAAGTAGAGCGTTGTACCCCCCCTCTTCCCCCTCTCTATTTCCTCCGCTGCGACTATCACCTACCTGTATTTGTTCACCAAATACCACATCTTCTCCCCGCTCTCTCCGACAAGTGTTTCTCTTGGGCTAGGGCCCATGTCATGACTTGTGTTTTCTGCTTCGATAATAGATGGATTGCGCCTAGCAGATGTCCATGGACGAATCTCATCCGGGGAGAGGCCTAGGGTTTACCATCAGGAATCTGTTTCGCTCCTCATCATTGTCCTTCCCATCTACGCGGCCACGAAGATCTCTCCTTCGAAGGGGACGCAGTGTGATTGATAGCAAGTACGCATTCGCTCGCCCTCTAGCCCTTCTACCCCTCTACTTCGGCTGTTCAGTCGTGGTTTTTCCCCGTACAATACCACTTGCTGCCTTTCGTGCTTTTCACTGAGCAGAGCCTGATTTATGCCACTTCTGTCTCAAGTGTCGAAACACCAGCCAAGACCATCAGAAAATATCGAAATGAAATAGTATTGAGGCCATGATCTTGAATGATTCGGAACTGACGCAAGTGAACATTTCCGCAGCAGAAATTCGATTGACCCCGCGAAACGTGCTTCCGCTCCTCCAATGAATGATAATCAAATCCGCGAACCAGCAGCGATGATAGGACCTGCGGAATCGTCTACAGTTGGTTGCGACATCTTCGAATGGTACCCGCGCTATCAAAATTGTCAGCGATACTTCTTGGATGATGCGCAACACAGCGTCCCTGTTCAAGCGCTTTCCGCTTTTCTGAACATTCGTCTTCCATTCCAATGGGAATCCAACCCGGTTGCAAGCTCGAGCTCGAGCTCGAGCTCGTCCACCAATCACTCTTATACCAGTACCCCTTCGGATTCATCTGGCCCGTCGACAGTGCCCCCTTCTGTCTCGCTGATTCCTTATATTCGTCGCCTAGTGGCTACTGGAATGGATTTTCCTGGGGTGCTTCAAGGATTCTTCGGGAACGAATGGGCCACTGGCATCGGCCCTCTGCACGAACAGGAGAGGCGCAATTACCTCTTCGCAGCGAAAAGTGGGGGGTGGGCAGCTGTGAAAAAGGATTACGATATTGCTCCGCTGGAGACTATCCCATTTTTACGCCCATTGCAGGGTCCGCTGGATTCAGAGATCGAGGCCGCGGAGAGGAGCTGGAGTGACTGGCTTGCCATGGAGGACTGGATGGTCGGGCCACGAGCGCCTGATGCCCTTCGCGATTCATCGTCTAACATTTCGCGAGCGCAGAGCTCACGTGGCTGAGGCTTCTATTCCCTCGATCCAAATCTTCTCTCATTTCCTTGCCTCTTCTTGCTTTATCATTTTGCATCGATCCCCCGGGTTGACTTCTACATGTTGAACAATACCCAACGACTATGGGTGACAGTACGGAGTTTGGGGACCTCATAGCGGAACCCGTTTCTATTCTTTTAATATTCTTTCTGTTCTTCGCATGCCTGCCATGAGATGACGATCATATGAGTTCTTGAGCGTGATAGACTGGCGCGGGCCCACATTTTAGTTTTGGCTTCTATTATTGACTACGGAGCGCACTCCTTTTTGCAAGGGGCTATACTTGGATATACACGACCGAGGATTTTTGAAAACAGCAGCCAATCAATGAATCATATGATAGGCGTTGGAATTTAGTATAGCATTAATGCACAGCTCTTGATTCCAAGTTGGAGATGTTGACTAACTACCACATCTCTGAATTCTAGACATTGGTAGGGCTTGTCGTCATCGCTGGAACATGCTTTACTCGAATGCGAAAAGAACCGCGCCCCCTGAGCCCCCTACTGCTGCGATCGCGGTTCACGACCCAAGAACCTGGATGGCAGGGCCAACCTGGTGAGGATCGACCTCGACAAGTGTCTCGATTGGGCACCTACCTCCGGAACGATAGAAGTCCGAAACAAGCGAGACGACCTCTAGCGAGGCTGACAGCCCAGTAGTGCGCTGTGGAACACGGCATTGGTTCGGACGGGAACAATGTACCGAGGCGACTGGCGCTCACATCACGGATCGGTTAGAATCGTCATGGGGCCAGGTGGTGAGGGGAATGTTCGTGTGCCTGCCCATTCGGAGTTTGTCTGGGTCAATCGCTCACACTGGATGAAGATTTATACTTCTGCTACAGTCCGTATTGCGTGAGACTGAGAAAGGGGGCCAGCCGTCCTGCTGAACCTCGGTTTACAGGTGTAAACACATACCTAGACAGACTACATACCATCTTTAATTCTCTCGGGTTATCTGTGAAAGGGCAAAGGCAGATACGTTTGAGATATGAGGCAATGGACCTATGCCATGCGAGTCGCACAATCCCGGTCCGCTTGGATCGATCGATTTGAATTTTTACATCTGCTGCCCGCCAGCATTCTACCAATTACCATGGGAGAGGGAGATCGGAGCCGATGGGTTGGGATGACGAACCGCGCCCCCTTCCTTCTCCACCGGTCGGAACTCGTGGATCGGATTTGTGGTTATCGATCGCGTAGGGGGAGAGGGTGAAGAGGGGGGATCTCATCTCATCCGGGTAGCGTAGGTGGTTGTTCTATTTTTTCTTTTTTCCTTTTTCTCTTTTTTTCCCCATCGGATTAGGCACAGTACATACGTAGAAGTTAGTTATTCTTGTGGTTCCTCGGTCCATTTGGTCCTTGGGGTTGTGTTGTGTCCCTGCAGGACCCAACGAAAACTGGAGGGAGACCTAGATCCGCTATGCATAAACTGCACAAAACCCAATCGAACAAGCGTGGGAACTAAAGGTAGAGAGAGTTCCTAGAACAAAAACTAGGGAGCGTGCCTTTTCTTTAGCTACTCATGTTTAAACTTCTTCTGGACTTTTTCGATGAAGATCCCGCACCAGTGACTGGCGCGCGGCTGAAGAAGCGGGGGGGGGGAGGCCACTGTTGATTATACAATATTTGTGGGCAGTCTCTTGTTTCTTCAGGCTAGCTCGGACATATCATGAAACCAGGTACGGAGGACGTAGTGGTGTTTTCAACTAGTCCAGATCTCTCCTCATGAAGGGAGGGGGTAAGGAGACCGGGACGGCAGACCAAGAAGGGGTCCAAACTGGTGGTGTTGTAACCAGTCGGTAACAGTTTCATACACTGATCACGTACCATATGTAATGGACAAGACCTTACCGAAGTATCTGGTACGTATTGGGTACTGAGTAGAACCAGCCTATCTCCCAACCGTATGTACATAGTACTGTCTGTACCTCATTCTGTCAGTCAAATAAGAATCGTTTCGCAATCCACATATCCAGTAAGATGCAGTGCTATACATTTTGAGTCCATACTGGTATAGCAACTACAGAGAAGTACCACAAGTATATACAATACCTTGTCCGGGTGCATCTGATACCCTGTACATGGGCTGATTTCACACCCATTGGCCTCACAAGCAGGGTGCTAACTCTTGACTAGGATTAACTATGGTATGTGTCTTAGATATGCAGTCGTAGATAGAACTGATCCCATGTAGCCTGTCAATTAAGAATTAGACTTTCTCTGCAGAGGAGATATCCCCCGGGCTAGCTCTTGGTGTTTCTCATTCGCTGTCAATCGTTCTACGAGTAGGGATGATTCTCCCGGGACAATACCTAGGTAGCCTTATGCCAGAAGCAAGTGCAACCATGATGAGCTCGCCGGCAATTGTGAAGCCTGAGCTTCATAATTCTAGCCCACCGGCCCCATAGTTCCAAGTTGTGGGGTGTCCAATCCGACAGATCGAGCCTACATGTATCGCCGGGCACGTGGTTTTTCTGAGCTCCAATGAATTTCCTTTAACTTGACATACTATACGGGTCTCTTTGCTGGCCTAGATGATCTAATCGTTGGGTTTAATTTACGGTGATGTCCCTTCAAGTACAGGGAGAGCCTACAACAATGCAATGGACAGTAGGAATGTATCTTGACAACCCATTATGCTAATTGTTCACACAATATGAGATTGAAATACAATATGAGATCTTGCTTGCTCTTAGTCTGATGAATGAGCTGCACCAGAAAGCCCTTCTGATCAGGGAATGAGTTCGGTGGTGGATCGTCAGCTTCGATGGGAGTAGTCCCGGAAGCCATCCTTGGGAGTGGAAGAATCGTACAGACACATGATAGTATCGACTTGAATGTCTAGATCTGACTCCAGCTGAGGAGAGCACTGTAGACAGAAGATGCTTCCAGACTCTGAAAGTTCTCTTCTTTCTAATCGTCTGGATTCCATTGAAAGATCCGCATATGGACGGATAGCTGGACTACGTAGCATATGGCGAGCCTCGATGTGCGAGAAGTGACATTACACTCGAGACATGGCTAGTATATGTCATAGTAATGGCAGATCTGGGACTGATAACTAGATTTGACATTCCGCCAATGTGCCCGCATGTCTTTCGTTGCTGCTTCCTGCTTGGCTAACACTGGCATGAAGTATGGCCTGCCCCTGTCCGTGTGTCATGTGAGGGCGGCGAGAGTATAAACCTCCCTCCTCCTTTCCCACCTGCTCGTCTCCAAACTCGCGGCGGTCAAGTATTACGTGCTGGAGTGAGCGAGCAATGAGCGCAATGGCATGTACAGGAGTGAGTGGAGCACGCTCCAGAAGCTACGCAGTTTCGATAATTAATCCAGGTTAGCGAGATCGTTTGTGTTGTAGATGCAGCTTGTTTCCAGAACCACGCTTTATGCATGCATGGACTCCTGGAGGGCCTGGGGCCCCCCGAGGTGCTAGGATGGCGGCCCGCACAGCCTATTTCGCATTCTGTTTTAACATGCAGGTATTGCCTGACCTTGGTTCATGTACTCCGCTAGCTCGCTTCGCATATGCCTGACTCGATGTACTCGGGCAGTCGGTCATTCGCAGAAGCAAATATAAAGTGTCCTCTTGTATTGTTCTCAAATTTCTGAAATGATCGTAGCGTAGGTATGCAAATGATCCCTTTGTTGTTGCTTTCCGCTCCGAGCGGGATCTCCGAGGGCATTTGTCCCCTAATGCGTCGAACGAGAACAATAGCCTAAAGAATCAGGCTGTGATGGATTGATCCTTCGAAGTCCTCAACGGGTCAGTGAAATGGGAACGCCAGGCCGATAAAGCGTGGTTCACTTGATTGGTGGTATAATCACCAGGGAGACTGATGCCGACATCGGATCCTACTTTGCCCCCGGAGGAATGCACTAACGCTAAGAAAAGTACTGCCGCTGATGGTGAGAGCGGAAAAGGACAGCAACGCATGGCTAGTGTAGTTTCCCTTGCCTACCTTACCTACTGACAAGTACCCTGTAGAGTATCTCATTGGCTAGCAGGCTATGTTAAGTAAAATGAAAAAGTAATCATGGTAGATATCGACGCGTCTTGTGGCGTTGAGCCTGATCTGATGTTCAATTCACCTACCCAATAATTGTATGGTAGAGTATGTGATCGAAGTTACACTGGTGCATAAGGTACTTTCCCCGGATCTCGCATCTTACTCCCCCCCCCCATTCTTCCCCAACAGCCAAATGGATCAAAGACAGTCGCCTCCCCCAGATAACCAAGAAAAGACCAAGTCGGGCCAGAATCCCTGTCAACAAACCCCGACCACCGACGGATGCATTAGTGGGGGAGTTTAGCGGGCAGCTTGTGATCTTAGAGGCGTTAGAGACTTAAGAGTTAAGACACCGCGTGCGCATTCCGCTCGGATGGCCGTACTCGGGCGAGTCGGCTCAGGGAAGGGAGTGGGGGAAGGATGATTAAAGAGGTTTAGTGCCAAAGTTTCTTTAGCACCTGCCAATGTTTAAGCCTGCCTGCACCGCAGATTCCCTCCCAGTCCTCGAATCCGAGCCGTGAGTGAGCAGTGAGCACAGACGGGACAGCCTTAGTGCCACCCTCTCGGGTTGCGGAACTCGGCTACTTATCTATGACAATTGCACCATGTCATTGGCTCTGATACCGTCAAGATAAGGACGGACAAGGGTCTTGGATCATGCTGATTGGCTCCGCAGTCACTGTAACTCGATTGGAATTGGTAACCTTGAACTTGCCCCGGCGCCATCACATGTGCCCCCAGGTGAAGTTTGGCCAGTCAGCCGCAACCTAAAGGTTTCCTTGCTGCTGGGGCTGGAATTTTCATCGACCATTTGTGTACAGTACAATGAACATGACACCAATGTGATGTCGATGGCTTTCGAGTGCCCTAGAAGGTAGGGATGTGCCATTCTGTTGCGTTGCCTTTTTTTAATTGGCGAAGCGGTCTATACTACTCATAGGCAGATTTGGGATTAGGCGATGGGCAGTTTACCGGTGAGACGGACAGAGCAAGGCCACAGATGGTATGATCGCCCGGTGAACCGTGTGTTATGCTTGCCCGCCTTCCCGTACCACCACCAGCCAGCGGCGGCCATCTCTTCTCCCCCCCTCCCCCCGCTGTGTCCACTGTCCACGACCCTGCTCAGCTCAGCTCACCGGGAAGCCGGAGTCTCCCGACAGTTAACGATTCATCCTGTTTTCGGAGAGAACACCCAACAACGATGTGTTTCCTAGTTCTGAGACAGGCGAATTCCAGTCTTCAGAGGGCGCACTCTACGTAGAGATGATCGGGTTGATAGTGCAGATAAGACTTTCGCTTACACGTGGGGCGCACTGCACTTGGGGGATCTGAGGATCGATTCCGAGGTCACGTGCCTTCGATA